GGTATCGAAACCCGGATTCTAGCTTTGTAAGTCCGCAGACATACCGCTGCGCCACTGGGGGCGAACAAATTTGTTAGTTTTGGTTCGGATATTTGTGGAAAACTACACAAGGGCCATTTATAATAGCCTTCTCTAATTTTAAATTAATTAGCTAGAGAGAAGGCAAACAATTAACACCACCACCGCCAACACTTGAACTACTAGATTTTTTCACGTGCAATTACACCTCGAAGTAACACAACGCTAAATAAAACAGGGATAACACGGACACATTCACCCGTTATGATAACATGTATTAGATATAAAGCAAGTAATACACCAACCACGCTTCTACTCAATAACCAACATTAAATATACTACAAAGTAAAGGGGAAAAAGTGGGATGTATATTCAGGATAAAACTAAATAACAAGGAAGGAATCGAAGTTGGAATTTTTTTTACCTGAATGATATCTTATGCGCATGTTGGCTAAATGTCCAGGTCAGAGAAATTTAGCGTTCAAATATAATCATTCATAATTAAGAAGTAATGACTGGAGAGAAGACAACCAGCCAGCGTTTTGTTCGGGTATTTGAATCTAATAACAGATTTATTGTCAATTCATAACGCGCCCGCAGCCAAAAGTGCGAAGTCTGTTCAGTTGCATCACGTCTCGAACCCCTGACCCTTCGATACACAGCTCAACAAGCTAACTATTGGGCTACACTCGGTCCAATAAGAGAAGACATGGTACAATACTGTAATCAGTAAATAACAGATCATGATATATTCTAAGTACAAAAATAGTTATGATATATATATCAACATAACATAAAGTAGGTGCAAGTAAATGTGAAAGAACAAAGAAAAAGTAAGCTTATATTAAAGTTTTTCTTCATTACCCATTTAAGCCGTCTCCAGCCATTATTAGTCTCAAAGTGGGTTCCTCGTCATCGAAAAAGAAAAAGTAGTTTGGACTACCAATCAGTTTCATATGTTGTTTGTCCTTCATTTGGGTTTTTTGTATCAAGAAAAAGTTAGAGTAAAAATGATGTAGTCAATGAATTGTGCTGTTTACCTGTCTTATTACTAATTAAATGAATAATGCAAGAAATTTTAAAACAAAACGAGAATGTCATGTTTTATGTATATTTAAAAATATAATACATAACACTTCAAAGCAACAACCACGTTCTTAAGCCCAGTTTGTACGCCATGTGATATAAGAACTTTACAACTTTTAAACACCTGATGAATGAAACATATTGCAACCTTCTGTAAAAACGCCCACTAGTAACTATTTGCAATGTGGAACAAACTTGAAGGTATCATAACTGTTAGCCCCTTCCCTACTCCCAGTGGACTTATAACTCTGAAAACCAGATTTCGATATCTGCGGTGGGCACAGCAAAGATAGCCCACTGTGCAGCTTTGTACTTAACTACAAGCAAACGTTTTAGCCGCTACATAGCGGCTCATAGAATGGTTCTGAGTTGTTGTTGTTTTCTCAAGTACAAACTTTTAACTTATAGTTCCGTCATCTCTTGACTGATTTGAATTTTAATTACAGTTTTGGACTCAGGAGGTCAAGCCCCTTCGATTGATGTATTTGACCACGCCCAAGGTAGATTAAATTAGTCTAATTCTGTCTAAAGAATTTCAATTTGAAGGTATACCGGTAGAGATCCTGATGAATAATAAAATAAAATCAGGTATACGCGCCCCTCGCTTGGTATTGCTGGCGCACAAAAATATAGCTAATAAAAACGACAAAAAGGTCTCATAGATCAATTTACTCTAATCCTGTCTGCCTAAAAGAATCTCAAGTGCCGCGGCTACTGAGGAATCCCTCTTGTTTTTAAGAATTGAATCAACTTTAAATATAATATTTATACATGTAGCACATTGGTTTGAAAGTTTGTTAAATATAAATATTAGTTAATACCTCCACAATGATAAGAGAATGAAAGTGCTAGTAATTTAACTTTAGTTTTGGGGGAGGTGAAGTATAGTGTGACGAATTTATTATTATATATTCATTTTAATATCAATGTTTGTTTTAATTAAATTTATATTTACAAATGTACATAACGTATACTGTTAAATATGTATTGCGAAACTCCCACCTATTCT